CTTCCTGTAAATTCATGCAATATACACCTGTAGCAATAAATGTACACACACACACACACACATCACAAATACATTTTAAAAACATTTTTAATTAAAGATTTTAAATAGATAGATACACTTATTATAAAAAGAAAACTTTTCAACCTATCAATCTTGATGTTGATTAAAAAAAATGGATATGATATGCTGCAACTACCCAAACCTATAAACTTATTTTAGCTTAAATCCAAACAGGACTCACTAAGTGAGAAAAGGTGTGCTGCCTCTCCCTGGATGTCTTGTGTTGCAGGTATTTGTGATAATGAGGGTGGAGCATCAAATGTCCAGGAGCCCTGTCCCTGACATAATGGTTTCCTAAACAGTCATAAAAATAACCAGTTTCTCGATTTATTCATTCTTAGATATCTGGCGTGTCTCTGATCAGGCATCATGTGTAAAGGCCTAACGTTACTCACACTTTATGAATTACTGGCCCGTCATAAAACAGGTTATCCACTGACGAAACGCCTTCTTCTGAGTCTAACATCTTGTGGTTGCCACCGACATCCTGAAAGAACAACTGTGATATAGAACATTAAAATATGAAGCTGTTATTAGGCATTACAACATATTGAAGTAACGCAAGTTATTTACTGTACGTTACTGTGAACCCTCGAGTTTAGCTTTTAGCCACTGGCTATCGTTTCTCTGAGGTAAAATAATTAGCTGAGCTCGTAAGGTAAGCGGCGGAATGTCTGTTGGCAAAAATAGTAAAGTGACTATTAAAAGTCTAAAAATATTCCATATACTTACGTTTTATCTAACAAAACTGTATTTGTGAGGAATACTTTGTAACTGGCGCTCTCTTGAAGGCGCCGTGAGCCCGCGAGCTGTGTGAATCGCGCTCAAGGTCACGCGATCATCATCACAGTATTAAACACTGGTATTTTATTATAGAAAACAGATAATATCTGCTGAAATGCTCATTACATTACATTTCACGGATTTAAAGAACAGAAAGCCACAATATTATAATTAAATTCATAAATACAAAGCCTTTACATTCTTTAGTATGATACGGATAGCTGTCTGACTAGACGTATTTTTGTGGAAAAACACCTTTGATGGAATTTGTTGCGTTTCTCCAGTTCAGACTTGATGTATATATGCATTCATGACTTGACACAAAATGTTTAGCTGTGATATACCGTGCTATGAACGTTATTTTGTTCCTAATAATTGGTTAAGAGAGCCATTGCCATTCTTTCTGCTTATCCTCTTCTGTTCGCGTTACCGTCAGTACTTCTACTTGCCACCTATTTGGAATAGTCCACTTTTTGTTTGGGGGGCATTATTTATAAATTCATGCAATATACACCTGTAGCAATAAATGTACACACACACACACACACACATCACAAATACATTTTAAAAACATTTTTAATTAAAGATTTTAAATAGATAGATACACTTATTATAAAAAGAAAACTTTTCAACCTATCAATCTTGATGTTGATTAAAAAAAATGGATATGATATGCTGCAACTACCCAAACCTATAAACTTATTTTAGCTTAAATCCAAACAGGACTCACTAAGTGAGAAAAGGTGTGCTGCCTCTCCCTGGATGTCTTGTGTTGCAGGTATTTGTGATAATGAGGGTGGAGCATCAAATGTCCAGGAGCCCTGTCCCTGACATAATGGTTTCCTAAACAGTCATAAAAATAACCAGTTTCTCGATTTATTCATTCTTAGATATCTGGCGTGTCTCTGATCAGGCATCATGTGTAAAGGCCTAACGTTACTCACACTTTATGAATTACTGGCCCGTCATAAAACAGGTTATCCACTGACGAAACGCCTTCTTCTGAGTCTAACATCTTGTGGTTGCCACCGACATCCTGAAAGAACAACTGTGATATAGAACATTAAAATATGAAGCTGTTATTAGGCATTACAACATATTGAAGTAACGCAAGTTATTTACTGTACGTTACTGTGAACCCTCGAGTTTAGCTTTTAGCCACTGGCTATCGTTTCTCTGAGGTAAAATAATTAGCTGAGCTCGTAAGGTAAGCGGCGGAATGTCTGTTGGCAAAAATAGTAAAGTGACTATTAAAAGTCTAAAAATATTCCATATACTTACGTTTTATCTAACAAAACTGTATTTGTGAGGAATACTTTGTAACTGGCGCTCTCTTGAAGGCGCCGTGAGCCCGCGAGCTGTGTGAATCGCGCTCAAGGTCACGCGATCATCATCACAGTATTAAACACTGGTATTTTATTATAGAAAACAGATAATATCTGCTGAAATGCTCATTACATTACATTTCACGGATTTAAAGAACAGAAAGCCACAATATTATAATTAAATTCATAAATACAAAGCCTTTACATTCTTTAGTATGATACGGATAGCTGTCTGACTAGACGTATTTTTGTGGAAAAACACCTTTGATGGAATTTGTTGCGTTTCTCCAGTTCAGACTTGATGTATATATGCATTCATGACTTGACACAAAATGTTTAGCTGTGATATACCGTGCTATGAACGTTATTTTGTTCCTAATAATTGGTTAAGAGAGCCATTGCCATTCTTTCTGCTTATCCTCTTCTGTTCGCGTTACCGTCAGTACTTCTACTTGCCACCTATTTGGAATAGTCCACTTTTTGTTTGGGGGGCATTATTTACATGACTCATACAAATAATTAATTTTCTCCCGATTAAATGTATCCAACATGTTTATGTTGTTTAAGATTGTATCATAAATCCGTAGTTGCCAGTGGGTAATCACAATATTAACATTATTTTTAATACATTTTATCAAGTTTTTGGAGTCCCCCTCGTTGAGGCGCAGTGTCTTTGTCTGTGGACCATCGAGCAAATATGGCGGCTTCGCAATAAATGGAAAGCTTGAGCGAGCAAAAATGAAATGATTTCACTTCAGTATTATTGTCCACAATCGCAGCTGCAGAAAGGTAGGCTAAAATGCATTTGGCAACAACATTAAAAGGTGAAACCATCAAAGTGCCCCCAATATTTTGATAGGGGCAAGTGGTTTTAAGCTTGATGTTGAACATAATAGGGCTTGACTGCTACCTTGCTAGCACACTCTCATAGTATGTAGTAACAGCAATGCCTAAACAGAAAGATGTCAGTGATATATATAAGTTATTGATGCACGTAAATCTTGTTCTTTACCGCATCTCTGAATTATTAAAAATGACTGTTTATGAGTAAATTTGTTGCAGGGTTGAATGCATGTTATGTTTTGTGAACCACTAATTATAATATAGAACTTGATCCACAAAGATATAATGTGTTTTTTAAGAACTTGAATTACAACAATAATACCATGACAACTGTTAATGCCTTTAAACGTCTTGTTTATACATCCAGACATAAATGTTTTACTAAAGGTACTTTTCTCGGAGCATGTGATTTACATATCATTGTCATATGAAGCGATTTCTCATGCTATCTGTTGGTAATTATTTGTACATTGTTGTCAGTAGTTTCATTTATTTATTTATTGTACAGTGTGTCACAATGCACATAAACGATCTGAATTCCTTCTCATATTTTTATACATGTACTTGGGATCTCGGTTTCTGCTCAGTATCAGGTGTAATGTATAATGCATATTCTTTAGTGTTGTTATAGTATTACTGGCTAAAACACTGTCTAGTTTTGTGTCATTTCCACTTTCACTTGTGTAAGCATGCAAGACCAACCAGTTGGGGGTGCTTACCATATTGCATGTAGAATAGGGATTGATTGGCTTACTAACTTTATACATGTTGAAAATTACTTTGAATTTTGATAACGTTGTTAATCAGCTGTCGAATGTAGCATGCACTGATGTTGTTAACCAGCTATAGTAATGAGCAGCCATGATTAGCCACATTAATAATTGTATTTTTTATTAATATAATTTTTGCAGTAACCTGGTGGTGCACTTATATTTTACCAACTAAAACATTAAAAAAACTAATATGTTACTGTTATAGCATTTAATTATTTACTGTATAAATATTACCCATGAACAAAACCATTGTATGTACAAACATGAATGGCAAATCTGCCAGTCTCGTACTGGCAGGGATTGTAGGTGGGGGGAGTGAATGTACAGCGCTCTCTCACACCTTCAATACCACGACTGAGGTGCCCTTGAGCAAGGCACCGAACCCCCAACTGCTCCCTGGGCGCCGCAGCAAAAAAATGGCTGCCCACTGCTCCGGGTGTGTGTTCACGGTGTGTGTGTGTTCACTGCTGTGTGTGTGCACTTTGGATGGGATAAATGCAGAGCACTAATTCCTAGTATGGGTCACCATACTTGGCCACATGTCACGTCACGTCACGTCAAAACCGTCTTTGTGACCCATGTACTATTAAGTCCATAAAGTGTAGGAAATATTTAAATTTAATTGAATTTTGCGGTTGCAAATATGCATGTTCATGCATGGATTTTTAAAAATAAAGACATCAATATATACTTATTCTATTTTTTTATTAGGGGTATTTGTTAGGCACAAAGCAGAGTTTATATCGTTTACAGTTTCCAAATAACTTCGCAACTAGCCACAGTAATATAGAATACAGACTTTAAAAAATACTTACAAATACTTACAATACTTACGTAAATACAAAGTAAAAACAGTGAAAATAACTACATCTTACCATAACTGTCGTATACAATAGTGTTGTTTGAAGTTGCCATCATTTCAACAGAATCTGGCCACACACGGTGGGCTAGAGTGAGCGGAGGCCGAAGGCCTAGAGTGAGTGGAGGGCGGCGGCCTAGAGTGAGCTGCGGCCGGCTTGATTGAGCAGAGGCGGGCGGGCTTGAGAATGGCGCGGCCAGTGAATTCGACGAAGGCGTGTCCGGCGGGATTGCGGCAACCACATGTGACAACCTTGGGCTGGACTCCGCTTCGTCCACGGTGAAAGCCGATCCGGAGATCCACAGCGCGACGTTGATGTATTTCCTCAGTAACCAGCACGGATCAGCTCTAGACATGACGAAGCGGATATCGTCCTCTTTTGGAAGGCCAAACAAAGTAGTTT